ACAGTGCAACAATGAATGAATGAGAACCCAAAATCTCTGCAAATGTTCATTAAAACTAATAAAATTTAATAATAATTTAAAAAATGATAATATTTTTTCTTGAAAAGCAAGCCCAGCTCATCTATAATAGAGCACGTTAGCACCTGTCTTCATTTTCTCCACTCATACTTATCATACTGTTAGTATTTTAATTGATTATTTCTCTGTTTCTCTTCTAACAGTACTCGTTGCTTTCAAGTCAGAACCAAATCATAGGTGACCCTCCAGCAGGTTTTCAGAGGCTGTAGACCACATAGAAGATGGCCTATCTTTCTCCCATGAAACTGCTCATGGATTTGAAATCCTAGAAAGGCTCTGGCTTTAGATTACAAGTGCAGCTCCTGACACACTAAAGCACCAGAATTTCCTACTTCTCTTATACCTCCAGAAACTCTGTGAGCTTTGATAAATGTTGATAGTTGTAGAGTGGCTCCAGGCCTTTTGTTCATAGGGTCACTATGAGTCGTGATCGACTTGAAGTCAATCAACACAACAGTTTATACAAATATATTTCCACTACAATTGTTTTACCTTAAGTTTTATCCTAGTGTCCATACTACCTTTGTCCTTTCACTTTGAATGGAGTGGCTTCTCTTCTCATGACTTCTTTTAAACTAAAAGCTGTTCACTGAACACAGATGAAATAATCTTATTATTAATATTCAATATTTTTAATATTGAAATACCATTATAATTCTATTTATCTAAGGTTTATCATTCAAAATATCTTTCCAAGACAATGATTAACTGTTTATTTTGTGTTGAAGTATTTCTCACATTAAAGAGAGAGGATTAGGATGGTATACAAGTCCACACCTCTAAAGCCTTATAAGCTCATGGGTCCTCCATGCTAGCTGTCTCTTTATTTTGGCACATTTGGCTTCAATGGATAGTTTACAACACTTACCAGTCTCTGAAAAAAAAGCCTGCATAACTGCAGTTGTGTGAGTCATTCCCCTGTGAGTCTGAGTCTCTGGAAGGCCTTCCAGTGTGCCATGGAGCCCAAGGGTAATAGAGGAGTTAAGGAACTGAACAAAAGAAGGGCTGTTGATGTTAGAAATCACGGACTTATACAGCAAGTCAAGCTTTTGGGACAATGTTGACTCGACATTTTTTATAACTGGTGTGCTGTTACTCTTAGCAGAATGAATTAAAAATAGTGTTTTGTGACAAATTACCACTATTTATTGATGATTATATTGATATTTCAATTATCTTTGTAAATAGATTATAATATCTGTATGTTTCATTTCAGTTGATGAAAGTAATCCATATCGCAGGCTTTGATCTTTTGCAGTAAGTGCTTCAAGTCTTCATTTTCTGAAGACAAGTTTGCATCATCTGCATAATGCAGGTTGTTGATAAATCTCCCTCTAATTCTGATGCCACATCCCTTCTCATATAGTCCAGCTGCTCAAATGGTTTGCCCAGCATAAAGACTAAATACTTATGGAGAAAACATAAAACTTTGACACATACCTTTCCATTTTAAACAACACAGTGGTTCCTTGTTCTGTTTGGACAACTGCTTCTTGGTCCATATATAAGTTTTGCATGGGGTTAAATGTTATGAAATTTCCATTCTTCTCAATGTTAGCCATAATTTGTTATGATCTACAAAGTCAAATGTCTTCACATAGTCAATAAAACACAAATAAACCTCCTTCTGGTATTCTCTGCTTTCAGCCGAGAGTCATCTGGAATCAGCAATGATAACTCTTGTGCCACAGCCTCTTCTAAATCTAGTTTGAATATTTGACAGATCCCTGTCAATTGCTGCTGCTATTTTCAAAATAATATTCACCAAGATTTGCTTGCATGTGATATTAATGATATTGTTTGATAATTTTTGCATTCTATTGGACCACCCTTTTTTTTAATGGGAACAAATATGCACCTGTTTCCAGCTACAAATACCCATTATAGCACCAAACATCCATTAATAATTGGTACTTGAAATGATCAGAAGTATGAATCCAGGAAAATTGGAAGGTCAAAAATGAAATGAGAAAGCATGAAGGTCAACTTCCTAGGCTTTGGTGAGTCAGCTGAGTTGGACTGGTCTTGGCCACTTTGAATATATCCTGATAAATATTGTTGTTGTTATGTGCCGTCAAGTTGCTTGAGACTCATAGCGACCCTATGTACAACAGCCCTAAACTCTGCTCTGTCCTGTGCCAATTGCACTGTCTCCAACACACCCATCCTGATTACCCCAGTCACTGAATCAATCCAGCTCATAGAAGGGCCTTCCCCTTCGGCGCTGTCCCTCCACCCCACCAAGCATGATGTCCCTCTCGAAGGACCAGTCCTTCCTTACAACACGTCTAAAGTATATTACACGGAGCCTCAGAATCCTTGCCTCCAGGGAGTCTCCGAGTTTAACCCTTTCCAGGATGAATCTGTTTGTTTTCCTAGCAGTCCATGGTACCCTCAATACTCTTCTCCAGCACCACAGCTCAAAAGCATCAATTCTCCTTCTATCCACCCTAGTCATTGTCCAACTCTCTGACATACAGCAAGTGATTGCAAAGACCATGGCCTGTATCAGGCACACCTTAGTCTCCAGAGAGATACCATTGCTCTTCAGTACTTGGAGAGGTCCCTAACAGCAGACTTTCCCATGGGAATACGTCTTTTAATTTCCTGGCTACTGGTGCCGAGAGTGTTGACTGTGGAGCCAAGCAAATTATAGCTGTTAGCAAGTCCTAAAAATCAATTTGTCAAGGGAACTTTGATTTTAATACTAGACCAATAGCATGTCTCTATATGAGTGATGAAGCTCAAACAAATGTACACACAATTTCTAATTTTTTTTCCAAGCCAGTAATTATATTTATCAGGCAGTGTCCCACCCTACCCTAAAATGCTGTTGGACTTGACGTAGACCCCAGAGGAAATCAGGTCTCCTGGTCACATACTCTTTGCAGAAAATTGGCCCTTCTAACAAGTTCATGTGTCTACAGTCTCTCTCCTAATCCAGCAGAGGGCAGGAAAGTCATAGAAAAGCTACAATTATTAAGGCAAAGAGGTGGTGATGAGAAGGCAAGATTCTGAGTCCAGTGGGCAAGGGAGCTCTGGTGACATGGTCCACAGGGAGCTGTGCTGGCGACCTCAAGGTGGCGCCTGTCTGGCGGTTTGAATCTACCAGCGGCTCCACAGGAGAACAAGGGGCAAGCTCTGCTGTGGTTACTGCCTCTGAAAAACCACTGGAGGATCAGCTGTGAATCGGTTCTGACTGGACAGCACACAACAACTGAGGCAAAATAGTAAACACTGCTTCTAAACAAAAGATTGGCTGTTCAAACTTACCCAATGGATGTTGTTGTTGTTGTTGCTGTTGTTAT